TAACAAGTTCCCCTTTTAGTCATTTTGTTCAACGTCAAGCACCTTTTTATCCCCACGAACAAGATCATGTCTGGTTTTTCCTTGGTCCTATTAAATCCTCCTGTTCCCCCCGTTGTTGAAAACCCAACCCAAGTAGACTCTCAACTTTAATAATAGACCTCTTCACCGCCTGCGGAAAATATTTCTCTCTCAGGTTCCCATTTCATTCTCACAAAGATCACCAAGGAGCTGTGCAGCCTTGAATCTCCATCTCGCCACATTTGTTTGATACAGATTGGCTTTTTTTTTCACTTCTCTTAAAAAACGTTACTACATTTTACAACTTTCACATTTCGTCCTTTTTTATTTTATTTTATTTTTTTTTTGTTCTAAAAAAACTACTCCTGTAAAAAATGAATTCAATTGTGGACAATTCAATGAAAACTCCGATGGAGCAAGTCGACGAACTAAAATATTGGCTAGCTACCGCTCCAGTTAATTGGGATTCAGACCAAAATATCCGGCGTTATCTTCTTCCTACTGGCGAATATATTTCATGTGTTCTCTGGAATAGTCTTTATCATATAACAGGTACCGATATAGTTCGGAGTCTGGTATTCCGCTTTCAAGCATTCGGTAGACCAGTAACAAACATCAAAAAGTTCGAAGAAGGTGTGTTTAGTGACTTGCGTAACCTAAAGCCAGGCATGGATGCTTCCCTCGAAGAACCTAAGTCCGAATTTCTCGAAATGTTGTACAAAAACAACTGTATAAGAACTCAAAAGAAGCAAAAAGTGTTCTATTGGTTTTCTGTACCACACGACCGTCTGTTTTTGGATGCTTTAGAGCGTGATTTGAAACGTGAAAAAATGGGGATAGAACCTACCACTGTCGCTAGAGCAGAACCTGCCCTCTCATTCTCATTTGATTCGACACAATCGCTATATGACCAATTTACCAAAGGAATATCTCCCGGTTCCTCCGCGCCACCATCGCCACAACTCCGAAGTCTTGTATTTGATCATAGTTTAACTCCAATGGCTCCCGCTATGATTCCTATTAAAACTGATGATCCTTCAGGTGTTTTATATCCTCTTGACCAAGAGTCGATGGGTAATACTGCATCGGCTCAACCTTCCTTGGGTACATTTGCATTGTTCCAACCAATGTCTCAATGTGAACCTTTAGTGAAACAACAAATATATCCATCTCCAGAACTTGGTTATTGTTCTATGGATGAAATTCAAAAAGGTCATTTTGAAGCTGGCTCACCTACTGAATATTTTGTTTCAGGATCACCTTGGAGTACTTCGACTTTAGAGGATCAATATCTCGATGGCCGACACTCATCACCTGACCATTCTGATGGACATGTGTCTAATTTATCTCAAACGATTGTTCCTTCATCAACATATAGCAATTCTAACATGGCCGCAGCCGCCGCTAACCTCTTTGGAATGTTCTCAATTTTCGAGGGTACACCAACATACAAACAAAGGAGAAGAAGAGCAAATTCTTGCACAAATATTAATGTAAACAATTCGCCTCCACGAACCAACTCTACTCCTTATCCCCTCAAGACCTATACATGCCCACTTCCAACTTGCGGTCGTCTATTCAAACGCCTTGAACACTTGAAACGCCATGTCCGTACTCATACAATGGAAAGACCTTATTCCTGTCAAGTTTGCGGCAAGAGGTTCTCTAGGTCCGATAATTTAGCACAACATCGCAAGACTCATGAGCGTAGTCTCAGTAACTCTCCACCCCCTTCTGATGACGGTTCCTGTAATTCTGACCTTAGTTACGAAGAAGGTATTGTCAATGACTGTTATGCTTATGACAACTCTGAAATGCCACACCAACCATGTGTTCCTGATGGTCTTGCTGTATACACTGTTGAACAACCAAACTTCCCGATCTTCAACAACTTGCAATATTTAGAAGGAAATCCTGCTAACGGAATAAGCGTTTTATGATTCTGAGGATTTTTTTTTTCTCTTGGTGTATCTATATGCGGGGAACCGATGAGACTTTTATTATCTTTGGGTGGAAAAAGGATGGGGCTTTATTATCATAGTCACTATCAATAATGGACATTTTCTTGGGTTAAAATTTTCTTTTTCTTTTCATTTATAAACGTACTGGTACGTTATTTTCCCCTTTTTTTTCATTTATTAATATTTCTTATTCCAAATGTCTTGTAAAGTTTCGCAACGGGAATGAACAGAAAACGACCGTTTTATTTGTTATGACCATTTTTTTATGTCCAGATAGCTGGCATATTTAGGAGGACCTTGGGCCCATTCCATTTATTTCAATAATGTACCAAGGGAAATTTTCGGTTCGTTCCTTTTTTTCATACCTGTATAATTTTCTATTTATCCGTAAACTCCTTATTACGAACCAGTTTTCTTAAAAGTACTTTATTTCTCACCTAATACTTTCATTAACTTTCATTAATTTACCCCCCGTCGTGTCATTTTGCATGACTTGTAATATATTTTTTATTTTGTATAGTATATTCAGGTAATTTTACTATACAATTTTCTAAATAATATACTTTTTTTTTTTTGATTGGAAGTTTTCGGGATACATGGATGTTAGGGTTTAATCTCCCTTATATTCCTTCCTTCTTTCCATCAATAACACATTTCGTCGAACAACCTTAATGCCTATAACCCCTACTAAACAAACGTCAAACATCTTTTTTTGAATTGGGAAGGAATGTGGAAACTCCTTACGGGCTCATCCGATCATAAATTTTGGAAGATACAGAGGGATATTCTGATGCACAGTTTAACCAAATCAAAAAAAGCGAAAATTTAAACTAAAATTTATATATGTTTTTCTTATAAAAAAATAAACAATAAGATTAAAAGCAAAACATTTGTTTTGTGTTTTCTTTTCTTTGTGTTTCCTTGGATTAATGTATAATTTGGCAAAATTTTTTAATTATTATCACAGGGAAACGAGGAATGCCTACACAAAGAAAAGAACTATTTTCTAGTTTTATTTAATGAGCCCTTTTGTTTATATGATTATTTTTTATGGTATATATAGCTAGAACAAAAAAAAAAAAAAAAAAAAATTAAGTAAAAAAAAATTTTTATATTTTTTTTATGTCCTTTATTAAGAAAGTCATTTGTTTTTTTTTAACAATGATTTACGTGGGGGTTATAGTCGAGACAAATTTTGGATTGGGAGGATAAGTGAGGGATTAAAATTAAGATGTCGATCACCTTTATATCTAATTACCCTTTCACTGGATAATACAATCAAAAAAAAAAATTTAATAATAATAAAATAAAATAAACCAAAAAAAAACAAAACCCCCGCCAAAAATGTTTGATTTTGTTTGTTTTGAAAGTGTTTGACGAACATCCAAGTCATGTGATTTATCGTTTAATTTAATTTAATCCTGTAATCGACATTGTAAAATAACGATAACTGGATAAACAGAATTCTATTATTTTATTCATACTGTTTCTTACCGTTTTACAGTGAATGTGAATGAAAAAATGCTTGTAAACGATTCAAATAGTGTTAGTGTTAGTGTAAGCGATTCAAATAATGTTAATAATGTTGACCAAGATGCTGAGCAAGAAGAGAAGGTTGGTCGATATAAATAAGTTGTCTCTTTACAATCTTTGAAGTATTAGGCCAACCTTTTTTTATTCTCAGCACTTTCGTAAAGTGCTTAATACCTTTGCACTGTACAAGTCGTACGCACTCTCCGCGAATAATCGTCGTCGAACAGATTATTATGCCTTATCGGAACGTCATAGAGCCTTAATACCAAGTTATCTGGAAGTTTTAAGTAAAGTCGATCAAGCAATCATAAAAAATCATCTTGTTTTGAAGCAAATATTAGCCGATAGTCGATTATTTTCAAGAGAGGATAAAGTATGAATATAAATATTCTTTTTTTTTTAAATATATTTTATCATTTTCAAATTATTCAAATGACCGTTTTTGTCGCGTCAATTATTTGAAAATTTTTATATATATCGAAATATTTTTAACTATCGGTTAGGACAGTTTCCATCCTAATCTTCAATGTGATAAAGATTCCTCAACACAATTTCAAATAACAGATTTCGATATGGATAAATTAAGAAGTACAATCAAACAATTTGTAAGAGAATGGGCTGCGGAAGTAAGAAAATCTATTATATATACGTGAAAAAAAAAAAAAAAAAAAAAAAAAAAAAACTGAATTATATTAACTATTCTTTATAATTTGATTAAATAGGGTCAAAATGAACGAGACGCGGCTTATAAACCTTTACTTGAGTCATTGATGGAATTTTTTAAAGATGTTCCAGTTGAAGAAAGGTATTATTATTCATGTAATGTTCAATCATATATAATTACTTTTAAAATTTATAATAAAGTTTAAATAAACAGGCCTTCAATTCGTGTATTAGTACCGGGTGCTGGATTAGGACGATTGGCTTTTGATATCGTAAAACAAGGTATTGTTTGGATTTGTTCAAGAATCTTGTGAACATTCCTAATTAATTATAAAATTCGTCACTTACTAATGTAATTGGTTTTTGCCAAGTGTCTTCTTTATGTTATAGGTTTCAGCTGTCAAGGTACTAAAAAGTTTATTTATTTACCATCGCATTATTATAATTACCGTAAAGTAATTTTAATTTTATGATCCATTAGGAAATGAATTTTCATTTTATATGGTATGTTCTTTACTTACTTTTCACTAACAAAGTAGGCACAAAAAAGCTAATTGATCGTCGGATAAAAACTATCTCAGCTATTGGCATCGCATTTTATTTTAAACAGGTACGAAATAATACATTTTATTTTTTTTTTATATTTGAATAATGAATAAATAACATTATTTTATTCACAAATAATTTATAGAATTGAGAGAGTTCATCAATATGAAATATATCCTTTTGTTCATTCATTCTCCAACATCGTATCATCTGAAGATCAACTACGACCTGTATATATACCTGATGTTCTACCAAGTAGCATACCTTCTGGTGTAAATTTTTCGATGGTAGCAGGTGATTTCGTTGAAGTTTATGGTGACGAACAGTATAATGGTGTGAATTTCTTATTTCATTTGTAATGGTAATACGATCAAAGCTGATTACATTAATAAATTTGGGTAAAGATTTTGGTTTTACTTTAGTCATTCAACTGATAGTGTTACTATATCCAATTTCATAACATTATTGTAATCAGCTTTACTGTAATTATAATATCTACTTATTTATTTACGGGTGAAAATTTAATATTCACTAATAATTTATCAACAGATCAGTGGGATTGTATAGTAACTTGCTTCTTCATCGATACTGCAAAGAATATTTTAGAGTACATTGAAATATTTCATCGTATTCTTAAATCGGGTGGTCTTTGGATCAATTTAGGTCTCAATTATTAATTATTCTTAATTATTCTTAATTATTCTTAATTCATTTAATTCGCCGAAGTAAGTTGTAAGTCTACTCACTCTGACTTATAATTGAACTCTTCCAGGCCCATTGCTGTATCATTATGAAAATTCACCCGATGAAATGTCAATTGAACTAAACTTGGAGCAAGTGAAAGCCGTAGTAAAGGATTTCGGATTTCAAATCCTAGTAAGTTATATCTACGTCATTATAATAAAAAAGTTTTCGTGATTTTTAATTTACTCTTTATTATTAAATAAGAATGAAAAATCGATACAAACGACATATACTTCTAACCCAAAAGGGATGTTGAAGTATTTATATGAGTGTGCTTTTTGGACGTGTGTGAAACAATAGAGGTAATTTTGATTGATCAAATGCATCTCTTTGTTAGCTATTTAATTTGAAAATATATTGAAAAAAATTTTCTATTCTGATATAATTACAAAAAAAGAATAGTATTAAAAGTAACGTATTTTTATTAGATAAATTGATTCTAAATTTCAGGGTTTATTTTTTTTTTATCATTAAAAGTTTAGGCGCGTTTATTCTCCTGCGACCATTATAGTGAAATTAATAGGCTTTTTTTAATTGCTTTTCAAAAGCAAAAAAAAAAAATCTATATATGTTTAGTTATTAAAAGTATTTATTTGATCGATGTTATATTGCATCGACTATAAATTAAAATATACAGTCAAACCTCTCTATAATCACACCCTTGGTTTTAAGAACTTGGTGCTTATAGAGAGTTTGTGCTTATATAGAGGTTAAATTTTATAAGTGCTATATAAGTTGGTTTTAAAAATTTATGTGACTATAAGCAAATGTGACTATAGAGGAGGTGACTATAGAGAGGTCTGACTGTACATAACTTTAGGCTATTATATATATATTTTTTTAATTTATGGAGAAGAGGAATAAGGGAATTAATCATGTTTCAGATTGTTAAAAAAAAAAATAAATAAAATAAAATTTTGGTTTATAATTACATATAGTTTGGTGCAATAAGATTTGAACTTTAGACCTTAAAATTAATTTTGTTTATATATAAAATTTTTCAAATTTTAATAATTTTTTTATAATTTTTTTATGTCAGATAGAGTAGGTTCTAAGCTATCTTTTGATATATTTTTTATTACTTTTTTATAAATATTTTGTTGAGTAAAAATTTTTTTAATAAATTTAATTTTTAAAAAAAAAATTAAAATTTTTTGAAAAAATTTAGATTTAAGCATTTTTGCAAGCTATATGCAATATTATAAGTTTGTATTAATCAAGTGTATAGCCATACATATGCTGAATATATAGTTAAAATTTTAGCTTAATTGGATTAGTAGTTGTTGAGAAATTAATTTTTAAAGTTTAATAGCCAAGTTACTAAATAATATGAAAGTTGTACAAAATTACATAATTTTTGTACAATTTTGTACTACTTAGTAACTTGGCTATTAAACTTTAAAAATTAATTTCTTAACAACTATTGATCTAATTAAGCTAAAATTTTAACTATACTGTATATTCATCATATATATGGCTATGCACTTGCATAGTACAAACTTGTAAAATTATATATAGCTTGCAAAAATGCTTAAAATCTAAAATTTTCAAAAAATTTGAATTTTTTTTTTTAAAAAATTGAATTTATTAAAAAATTTTTT